TGTAAAAGAGCAAGAATTTTCAGTTCGAGCTAAATTCACAGCTATCTAAATCATATATTGATATCACAAAATGCCTGGTTAAAAGTCCCCTACCGACAAAGTCGAAGGGGACTTTAGGTTTGCACTCTGTCCGTCTGTCTGTCTGTATGTCCATCCGTCAGTCCGGCATATCAGTTTTCCATACATTTTTTCTTCGTGCTTGAAGATATTGATTTGATTTTTGGTGTATTGTTTTATCATGACAAGTTACAGATCAAGTTCGAATTTTATGTCAATGTCAATGATAGACTAGGATTGGTTTTTGGTATATATGTATCTGCTACAGCATGGGAATTGTATAGGAAATACACATGTATTTAAATATATAACCTACTACCTAAGATTTTTTTCTTACTAGATACAAAATAAAAGAGCCCCCCCCCCCCCCCCCCCCCCTGACAGTTCACAAAAATTTGTACAGTAAGGCACCTCTTTAGTAGACTATACCAATTGAGCTAAATAAAACTTCACCAGAGCAGCTAATAGAGGACAGTTTTTTCTTGTATGCAAGCCGAGGGGGGTGCTTGTGGCGCTACACATAAATATAGATATAGGGAGATGTGGTATGAGTGCCAATGAGACAACTCTCCATCCAAGTTACAATTTATAAAAGTAAACCATTATAGGTCAAGGTACGGCCTTCAACGCGAAGCATTGGCTCACACCGAACAGCAAGCTATAAAGGGCCACAAAAATTACTAGTGTAAGACCATTCAAACGGAAAAACCAACGGGTTTATCAATGCTTAGACTTTTTACATGTCCCATTCAAACTATGCATAGTTTGCACCCCCTTATCAAAATTCTTGATCCACGTCTGGCAGAGGAAAGCAGTGCTATAGTGTACAGTTTAAAAGTGTTTACTGTACTCTTTAATTTCCACGATTACCATCCGACCTCAAGTCATAAAGCATATGAGGCACATCTGAAAACTTTGACAAACGTCATATATTTCAAATATTCATGGTTATAGTTACAATATGACGACGAAAGAGATTTAAAAACTATTTCCAAACGATTAACAATCGAAGCGATAAATTTTAAGTCCCATTGTTTTTTTTTTTTGGATACCCTCGGGACCTTTCAATGAACATCACTCAAGTATAATGTTCCGCTTGGGCTGTTCAGATTCGATAACTAGTATTCTGATTGGTTGAAAAAGTCACGTGCAAAATCCTTCACAAGTGAAACCTTATACGGGTAGTTGTTAGATCCTCGCATGTAGTATAACGTAGTATAACGAAATCAATTAGATCGTACTCATTGATCAAGGAAATTTTTCATCAAACTAGTATTGGTCTTGAGAGCTTGATACTATCCATGCATGTTTGTGTCCACATTGTGTTGAAAAAATTTTGCCGAAATCAAGGGCTTTAGACTTTGTTGTTGAAAATCACAGTTATACGGACTTTTTTCCTAAACGCCTTTAGATATTGGGCTGAAATTAAGGGCTTTGGACTTTGATAAATTGTTGATATTTTTTTAGACCCGCAAGAATGTGAAATATGAAAACTTATTTGGCCTTCAATGCCTCAACCTTTTTTAATGTGGGTAACTTCTTTGTTCAGTTAGATTTCGATTTTTACATTTATTTTGCAAACTACCATAGATTTCCGGTAATTGCTCTGCATAAAACCCCATGGGAAAGCACATTGACATAATTTTCTGAACGATATTGGGACCCAATAATATAGCAAAGTGTTGCAACCTGTAATGTGAAGACGTTAATGAAAATGCGGAGTTTGTGAGACCAGGCTCAAGCAAGCAGCCACTCCATAGCAGCCAGTTTTCAGATATTTATTTAAACCCAAATGTTGCATAAGATTCAAAAGTACTTCAAATGTTTTCATTAATATATAACCATTATATCATCAGTTTTTAATATATAATTAAGCAGTCAAAGACACTATTCAATGAATTTTAAAATTTCATTTCTTGTTTATTAATCATTTCAAGGCATTATATATCGCTTTCAATATATCACGCAGCGTGTTGCACGCTTTACATTTTAAAAAGTCAACACTTTTGAGTGTATATTGAATCTTAAATAATTATGAAATTATCTGAATGTTAGCAAAATTGCACTATTGTGTCAAACAGCTTCCATATTCTCGGCATCCTGTCAAATAGTAAATGAAAAGTAACAATTGTTCTGCATTAGAAGAAATGAAGTTGCACTCGTGCTTTAACTTTTTTTTTTGCCACACAAAAATGTTTTGACAAAACATTCTACTTCTGAACCAGTGGATTTCGCTTACTTATGATTGGACGAAAGGTTTATTTTTTGTATTCAAAGTATGGTGGACAAGGAAATTATTTATTAGCTTTAAAAAAATCCGTGCTATACCCAAATTGTAATTTTGATCAAGTAGGCACTAGATCTCTAGCTTACGTTTGAACCTAGTGCAGACAAAAGTCTTGATGCAGATTTTGTTTTATTAACTGTTCGGTAAGGGTTGGGTAGGGTATCCGACCTCAACTTTGAACCTACTTTAGAGAAAAAGAACTAAGCCGAAAAACAACCTGTATTTTTTACTCCAGTAGACCTCAGCTACCCAGCTTCCCTTTGCACATAGTGCAGACAAAAGTATTGCCGTAGAATGTTTTTATTAACTATTCGGTAATGGTGGGGTAATGTGGGTAGCTGAGGTCTACTTGAGAAAAAATCCAGGGTGATATTCGGTTTAGTCTTTTTTTTTATAATGTAATATGTAATATGCTGGCAAATTATGAAAGCTCACGTCTTAATTGATACGCATAGAAATAAAGAGAAAACGTATGACAACGAATAACAATCTACCAGAGACAAAATAACGTTGGTTAAAGAAACTAGTATGATGGTCTGAATGAGGGGTTAATTTCTGTATTCTTTGATATTTTAGGCCATTTTTCTCTATTCTTTATACTTTTTGCCAATTATTATCTTCTCTTTATATTTTAACACCATTATTCTATTTTATTTATTTCTTGGTCCATTAATTGTCTATATTATTTATATTTTTTGCTTACTATTCTCTATTCCGTAAACCCCCATTCACTCACTCTAGTTAAGGTCACCATATAGCCTTCACAAATAAGCAAAACTAATACCGAATAGGCTCCGAATGGCAAAATTAATGAATTCTAATCCCGGTTTGAATTGTGAAATTACAGAAATTAGTTTTTTAATCAATTAATCAAGCAAAACACATTATCGTCCTGAATGTTCGAATAATACTGACAGAAAAACATTGATAATATCATCTTTACTGTATTTTCTGAGAGAACTAGCGTCACAAAATAAGAACTATTATAACCAAAAACAAGCAATTTATATCAACGATTCTCATTTTTATCGAAAGCGCTCTGTTAAATGAGATGTACTTATAAACAAATAGTTTCCAAACGATGAAATATACCAAAAAAAGATTAAATTAAGTAAATGTAAGATAATGATAATCCCTTTCTTCATGATTAAGTACGAGTGTTAGCGAGTACTTATCATGAAGTAAGGGATTATCATTATTTAACAACTTAGAATTAGTTTCATTGATAGTGTAATGTTTATATTCAATGCATGAGTTCATTTTCGCCATTTCATTCCTGGATTAGTTTTTTCGATGTAAGGACTTTCTTATAATTTGGGAAACATTTAAAAAATGCGTTATGGACATTATGTAACACAACAGTACAAAGAAAAGATAGAAATTGTATACCTATTGTTTCTCATTGTGAGTATGAATGTAAATCATGCAATATTTGAGTGAGGAGTTATCCTTTTTTTATTTACAGTTTAAATTAATAAATACATTTTGAGTTACAACTAATTTTATTTCACAGCCAATATTGTTTTCCGACTTTTTAAATCAAATACTATTTAATTTTGTCAGGGAAATGTTCAAACAAAATACCTTTAAAAGTTTTAAGTATATTTAAGCATTAAATAAAATTCCTGTTCTTTTTCAGCTTATCGAACATTGGAAACAACTATTTTTCCCAACCGCTATTCTAGTAACCAGAGTTTTAAAAAGCTAAATATTTAGATTATTTTATATTAAAACTTTTCAATTCTTTTGTATTGCTTTGATATTGGTCAATTTTTAGTAATTTGAAGTTATTATAATTTTTATAATAACATAATTTTGATTTTTTTTGTCTGTTTCACAATAAAACATTTAGTGAGTTTTAATCATTATAATAAATCCCTTCAGTCTGTTTTATAAATGTGCTTCGGTGCAGTTGTAACTCAGTTATAGAAAATCCTTGCTTTGATCTGTAAGTAAACCCAAATAAAACGATAATCCTTTACTAACTTATAAAGTATGATTTACATTCATTCTTCACAAGTAAGATACATCAAATCCTACAATTTCATTAGTCGAGAGCACTTTGCTATATTCTAAGTGTTAATTGACAGTAGCTACACTTTATATAGTTTGTATGTTGACAAGTAAATCAAATTGATGACCATTGTTAACAAAAAGTATTCTCACGACATAATCTTAATCCATAGATATTTCATAGTAACGCTAACACGACTAATAAATGCCTCTTATAAAATTGTTTGAACATAGTTTAAAATCTTGTTTTCCGAATAAAATGCCCTTCTTGTGTAATAAAAATATAGAAACTTGATTACTCATGTGAAATAATGATTTTTGATACCAAACATGACATTAAAAGATGAAAATGATAAAATTCACAATATCACGCATGTTAACAACACGATAGATGAATCAAATCTCCTTATACATCTTAATTCTAGATTCTCTCAGAAACATTCAGGCAAACTTTTGTAACATTTTGCACCGCATTTTAAGAGTCTCGAGAAGTTTGATTTAAAGCTTTACGACGTCAAATGGGTAGAATGACGAACGAACGGACGACATACACACATGATGGCAAAGGCTCACTTGGCTTTTAAGACTAGGTGCACATTCATTGTAAAATATTATAACATTAGAAGTAAAAAAAAATCTCAAATAAGTAATTATATTTATTTAAGGTATAATGGACGTTTTACATTTGAACACAGTTAAAAAAAAATTACGAACTTTCGACGGTCTAAATTGTAACTGTAAGAGCCTTCACTTTCATAATCACGGGAATAGATTGATTGATTGATGCCTATTTTACGCCGAATTATAGAAAAAGCCAGGGGAATAGAAAGGGTAACAAAAATTGTAACTTCTAATAATAAAATTTATAATAATAACATGTTATATTATATTGAACTATATAAAATTTACCTAAATATACCTATTTTATGAATGTACACAAACGTAATGAGAATCTGATTGTAAATGTAATACACCTATGTTCATACAAATTTATCCATTTACATTTTTGTGGCAAATTCAAGTAACTGTGTTTTTACTCCTGTTATTTATCATTCTTATTTCCAAATAAAGTGATTAAATGTACGGAAAATATCAAGAATTCATTGGTACATAAAGTACAGTAAGCAAAATATTGTAAATCAGGAAAATAACAACATTATTGTTTAACTTGAAAACAAACAAGTTTAACTTGAAAACACACAAGTTTAACTTGAAAACAAACCAGATTAACTTATTAGTAACAAAATATTTGTACTTCCAAAGGCGGAAATATGTCTTCATACACGTATACTGTAATTTCAAATAATTACAAAAAGTATTGAAATATTTGCAATAAAGAAAAAATTGTGAAAAACGCCAAATTTGAAACGAACCTAGGTAAGATTGGAAATGTTATTTGATAATTATGAAGATAAGTTTAGTGTCAATGATTTACTAGTGTGGAATATATATTGTTTTATTACCTACAAATAAGTAACCAAATGTAATAATTCAAAATGGTTCTAAAAGGTATAAAATAGACTACAAATTGCTCAACAAATATGTCTTTGTTCAGAGGTATAAAGGGACTATAAACAGAGGTGACTAGAAAATGGGAGAATTACGGAAGTCTAAAACTTCCTTTTTTTACTGCCGAAAATCCACTAACAGAGACTGCTGTGACAGTTATGTGAACTGGTAACCCTGTGGTAACTGAAACTGATGATGGAATACCAAATGTAATACTGGTTTGTTTGGTTTCCTGCCATTGCATTATATTAACTCCTCCTTGTGTAGATCCAGAGGACACTTCATAGAATAGATCATTGTCTGATGTGAAAATTTTGTTCCACGAAACAACTACTCTGTTATTTATCCAGTTAATGGACATGGTCTTTGTTGCTGTAAAGAAAGGATTAAATAAGAAAACTTAATGCAATAAATATTTTACAAAAATCAGTATGTATTATTTTAGTTATGCAGCAAAAGTATTGAACACTTAACAGATAAGTGTTACCTTTTTATTACATTATTTCATTTTTCTGTTTTTTAACTAAAATATGTTAAGTAGTTCATAAAATACATTTGTTTTGAAATGTAAGATTAAACTCATCTTGTTCAAAATTCATTGAAATCCTTAGCCAAAAAAAGTCTTTGTAAAACAAATTGATGGTATAAAAGAAGACCACTAGGGTGAAGAAATTTAAATGAAAATATTATTGCTAAGGAAATAAAACCTCTCCAAAGAATCGGTTGAAGGTTATCTGGCTATTTAGATTTTTGCAAAGTGTACTGTCCTAATATCTATAGTTCTCTGTAGAGTTCATGAAATGGCACCTTTAAATTTCTTCATGAAATACCAATCATTCATTGATCAATTTGGCTGTACAAACTATAAAGTCCTAGTGATAAAAATACATGTACCAATATCGCAAAATGTCACATACTGTCATTGCAGAGATAACAATTATGAAACTACAAATGTATGCAAATATAGACTATTGACGAACAATTTTTAAGTTCATTTGGTCAGTACAGAAAAACAAAAGCTGGAATTAATTGTGTTATACTGTTTTAATTGTTGCTCCCCGCCGTCAAATGTGTTGATAGCTGTTCAAATATTACTACCACTCACCTTTTAAATGATTCTTTACAATAACCATATGTATAGAGAATTTATGCAACACTGTCATAATAGCTTTGAAGTGGAATTCAACTTTTTAAGGATTGTAATTATGCTCTATTTTACCACCTTGCACTTTGTTGAAATGAATGTGATTTATTTTCAGGAGTTTGTTAAAATTTCTGACCAGTTGAACAGTTTGATTTGATAAAAAATTTGATTAAAAGCAACTGAGTGAGAATTTCGAATGATATGCAATAGAATGAGCACAACACTTACAATCAAGTTACAATAAACTCCTATTTATGAAAAAAAAACATGTTCAATACTAAATGATGTTATGTTATATTTATTCAATATCAACTAATTCATTTCTTCATGAATTATAGTCTCTTTTCAGTAGATAACTAGATTGTATGAGGGAAATGTTGACTGCATTACTTTACTAGCCTTTCATAACTTTTATAACTATAAAACCAATATAACCTGATATTGTTTATTTTTTATTTGCAGTAAATGTGTTTCGCTGCTTCTCATAATTTTTTGCAAGTTTTATTTTTCTGTACTGACCAGTTATAATTAAGATCTGCACTTCAGTAGTCTATTATTGATAAAAGTCTGTCATCATTATCTCTTGCCCTGACAATATATGTCATTATCGGGTATTGGTACATGTCGCACATGTTTTTTTGTCACTAGTGTTTTTTTGTAGAGCTAAATAAATCAATGAATGATTTTTTTTAAAGGAGAAATTTAAAGTTCATTTTGAATGAACTCAACAGAGAACGAAAGCTATTGTTTAAATCAATAGTACAGTACACTTTAATTGGACAAAATTAAATGGCCAGTAAAATACCAACTGATTTTAAGGAAAGGTTTAATCGATAAAACGAACAGGTAAATAAATGGACCCAGTTATAAAAGATAACATACTTTCTACTTTTGGCGAAGATATATCGATAGTTGAATAAGATGTAACTTTACTGCTTGTTTTAAACAATTTGTTAATAGCTTGAACAGAGATATTGTTTGATCCCTCTTTAATAGATATCTTTGTAAAATGGGCATAAAGTACATCTTGAACATCTGCAAAGAACATCAACTCTGATATGCCACCATCTTTATAAAAGACCTGAAAACATATTTTTTATACAAAATTACTTCAGCAGCATGTGTATGAACATAATTGCAATCTAAACAACATATTTGTAGTTGAAGCAGCAGTTTTCCTATATTCAAACACCACAAATAAAATGTAAATTTTTAAACCCGTCACATTCTGACTATGCCTGTCGTTTGTTGCTATATGTCATACTTTTTTTCCGTTTATTGTTTTATACATCATTCAGGCTTTTACTTTTCTCATTGGAATTGCTTATCAGTTGTCATTAGGGGCTTTTTATAGCTTATGTTGTTGTAGGGGATTTACCCATTGTTGAAAGCCATACGGCGAGCTTCTAAGTCATTTGGTCTCTTGTGAAGAATTGTTTCATTGGCAATCATAACACATCGTCTTATTTTTATATGACAGTTTTAAATAGAGGGTACTATTCTGTATTCAGGAAGCTCACGTATCGTGTGTGTTTACACACCATAAATCTCCTAAAACTTTGGGTATTCCTGATGAACAAAAAGCAGAAAAAAACATTAGCCAAGGCTAGAAGCAGCCGTCCTAGACAAAGCCAACAGTTACCTCTCTGTATATTGAATACATAATGTATCAGAATGTCACGAACCAGTGTTCACACCTTCAATCACCAAAATTCTCCTTGGTACACTGTATTTCTCGCAACAACAACAAGAGTGATTTTCACCTGAATAAAATCGATTGAACCTGTTCTATAATATGTTTCTTTGCTGAGTAAAAAATACAAATAACTTTTTTTAAACAATCTACCTCGTATCGTTCTACTCCTATATTGTCATCAAATCCTGTCCACTTCAGTCTGAAATTATCTGTAACTCCTTGGTATGAGTCTCTCGGGTTGTACTCTGTCATAGACAAAGGCAAATTCTCAACAACTGCTGCTGCCACTGATGGAGGTTGGTCTGAAATCTTCACTCCATCGGATGACATGACAGAGGACAATCCTGCATGGTTCTCACATGTCAATGTTGTATAAATGGTATGGCCAGTTAATAAATTGTAAGGAAACTCTTTGTAAGCTGTTGTAGTCGTCACTACTGTAAATGGTAATAGATCATTCCCTCCAGGCTGGTAGCCTAAACAAAGCATTTTTTCTGCCAATAACTAATATTTTTTTGATACAAACATTTAAAAAAAAATATAATGCAAGGTATGTGTTCGTTGTATTAAAATAAGTTACAATCCTCCAATATCCCTATACACAAATGACATAAGTAAACTCGAAAAATAGTTAGCAGTTTGAAAAAAAAAATATCTTCATTTTCTTGATTTAGCCTACCTCTGACTCATAACTGACTTTAAAACCCAACTTCAACACAGAATCATGTTACATTTTTTATTCGATTGATTGACTTTTTGAGCATTTTCCTATTGGCTTCCACTTTATTGATATTAGACACTCGTTTGCATTACTTTTAACCATATATTTTATTTTTAGTAATAATAAATATTTTGATTAAAAGATATCTAAATACATTAAGGACCATTCAATCCAAGTTCAGATTTATTTGCTTCCGTTGTTTCAGTAATGAAGAATGCAAATGACAGCTAAAGTTAAAGCCAATAACTACTATCAACTGTCGCTGAACAGTTTCATTCAACATAATTGAAAATATTGTATTGCTTATCAATTTTGCTGTCTACAATTACAGTCTATCTTTTCTTCAATACCTTCAGACGTGTTCATCCCAAAACGTGTCCATTTCGATCAAATGTGTCCTTAAAATCACATAATGCCAAAACATGCCGAACTTAACTTCCCTCAAATGATTTATTATTTTCTTCGCTCAAACGTGTCCGATTTATACCTTGACCAAATGTTTGTGACTATTTCTATTTGCCGAAACTTGTTCCCTTTAAGACACAAAAAGGTCATAACACTTATAGCGCTGACATGCCTTTTGTTACGTAAGTACTGTCTACGGTTACAGCAATAATAGTGGCACAATGGAAGATAACGTGTTTCTGCTTGTGTAAAAAAAAAATTAAAATAAACCGCTACGAAAGTACACCAATGTTTTTAGAGGACCTTTAGACAAGATAGAGCTGACATATGTGATTACGAAATTGTTTTATAAAGCTGGACACGTATGGGCGTTCTTTTAATATGGACACCGCCAACAGCGTCATATACTAAATATACATGTTTGAGCATATAGTTCAACCATATGGACATGTTTGGGGGATTGGACACGTTTAAAGACAATGAATAGTTTCGGATTTTTACATGTTTATAACTATAATTATACTTTTCATACTTTTTTACTTCTAAAAAAAAGAAAATGACAGGAATTTATCATAAATCGTCATTTCAGGTCATAACTCCAACAAACAGCAAGTATGGTCATTATCCCTAACGTGCCTCAAATGGAGGTGCTCAATTGGTACCAATCTTGTATTACAACTCCAGTTTCCGATGCATGTCAAATCATTGAGGGAAATAAAATAGTCAATTTTTTTCTGAATTTTTTGGTGGACTAAATTTTTTCTGTTTGATTAAAAGTTTGTGCTGAATTGAAACATATATATAGATTTAAAAAAAATCTCTCATCTTTTTGGGGATATCAATCTAGGAAATAGAAGGATATCATGTTTACTAGAAGTGGTGCGGCCAAGTAAAACAGAAAGTAGAAAAAAAAAATAGATTTGACATCAGGGTTACATCACTTTTTATTCTTTGTGGCATGACCCACTTTTTTATCGATTAAATCACAATTTCACATTAGTACATACATGATATGAACATGAATTTTTTTTCCTATGAAGCATTCTTTATTTTTTTTATTTTCAAAGATCAGCTGTTTTGCATGTAAGCCTTTGGAGCAGTCAATTACAAGACTGCAACCTTATATCTATACTTAGTTAACACTAAATATCTGTGATATTAGACATGTTGCCGGTTTTAGCAAGTGACTATGCCTAATCATGTGTACTGAGTTGAAGAGCAGAGGATCATAGAAAACTGTAGAATAATCAAAAGTTTGCGAAGGACAAATTTACAAAAAGATGTTAAATGTACAAATAGGAATTTTAAAGGTAAGAAGACGAAACATGAGTTTTTTTTGGGGTATAGAAATTATGGAACATTAAATCTCACTTCCGACCCTGAACATTTGATAAAATACAAAAACAGTCCATCCTACGTATTTAAGATTCCTATATGTGCAGACGAATTGAAGAAAGTGCTTCCATTACCACTTTACGAAATGAATAGACCCCGTTGATGGTTTAAGCCATTCACGGTTTTTTTTCTTCATAATACTGAACACATTAGCGGTTTGAAATTTCAGTCTTCTTTTATAATTTTCAAGACTATATTCAAAATACAAAAATATATATAAAAGAATGTTATTTACGGTTAATGAAAGTTATTTGTGTCAGATAACTGTTTTAGTTATATAAACAATTTTGTATGTCCTGTATTGCTGATAAATTTTGCTATTTACAATTTCTGTCTATCGAATTTAACTTTCAAGATATCATCATGATAATAAGTGAAACTCAATAATTTGATAGAAAAACATATAACTATTTAAGGACAATAACTCCTATTTTAAGCAAACTAATCATTTTGGTAACCATATAAAGTGTGTATTTGCCACAGCAGTCTTTCTTTATGTGATGTAGTGTTCAAGATATCAGACAATATCATACATATTCCCCTTATGTTCTATTTATAGGCACAGTGGCCAAGTTGATTGGTTTTAAGCAATACAAACTACTACTACAGACACTCTCAGGATGATTCAGGCCAATTTGTTTGTAAATCGGCATTGTTGTGTCAAAGGAAAATATTTTTATTATTAAGCTTATTAAGACGGATAAATGGAATAACTCATATTAACATACAATAAAGGGAGATATAAATATATGAGAATTTCGTAGTCGTGTTAGTGGCTGTTAAAAGACAATATATTTGTAGATTTGTATTCTATTCTTTAAACCACTTTGGTTAAATAGCTGTTACTTCGTTATGAAAATAACTTAATGGTTTCCATGAGACATTTTGAAAGCAGAAGCTAAAACTAGCGGTATAAATGCATCTTTTCCAAAAAGGATAGGTAAGAGGAATAAACAGTTTTGCAAACTAAACAATCTGCAGGATATATATATTACCTATAGCCCATTTACATAACAGAATACCAGATTCAGGATCTTCAACCGCCCAGTTAGCACGCACTTCATTAAATTCCCAGGCATCTTCATCTGTACCTTGAAATATGAAAGTACATGAGTTACCATACCAAGAAAATAAAAATGCTATGAAATGTAATCCTTCAGTGTAGGACAGAATATTAAAGGACTCACCAGTTGACCAGTGAACCAATGCATTATATGGTTGCTTTGTTTGCTTTCAACTTATGCTTTTTGTCTACATCTTAGGTATTTTCATCTTCTCTTCATTTTGTTTAAGAGGTCTCAGTACCTGACTGATCTTGAAAATTTATCTTAAGTGATCACTAGCTTGTCAACAATGAGACCGTTAGTTCGAACGCGACTTTGGTAAGGTGCATTGGACTCTAATCTTAATTGATTAGTAATATTGAGGGCCTATAGTTTTCTGCGGTTGACCCGGCTTCCTCTATCAAAATATCTAAGCACTGTAAGTGATGTGGGACAGTTTAATGAAAACTGAATGAAAGTAATTATGAATGGCATTGATTTATCATAATAATTAATCATACATGTATAAATATAAAAAAAGAAGATGCGGTATGATTGCACATAAGACAAATCTCCACCAGAGACTAATCGGGGTAGAAACTAACAGCTATAGGTCATTGTACGGTCATCAACCACCTGGAGCCTAACACACACTGCATTGTATGGCTGGATTGCAATATTTGTGAATTTTGCTGGAAAACAATTTAGTTCCCAAGTTCGGAAAAATGTGAAAAATTCTTCATACAATTCGGTATAAGCAGGTACACAACATGTGTAAAATCTTTAAGCTTTAATATAAGGGGTCATGGTTGAAAACTGTAGAAGTTGCAAACTTGAATCTCTTCACATAAATCTTTTTGAAAAGTGACAATTTTCCATAGACTTAAAAAAAAAATAAAAAAATTCTTCAAACAATTCCATAATAAAAGGTGAACGAATTCAAAATTGTGCTAGCTTCCTGTATATTTTTCAGAATATCGGTTTAAGACTGTTGGAGGAGCACTTTACTCGACCATTTTATCCTTTCATCCGACACCATCAAAGTATAGCTTACCAACAATGAGGTCAAGATCAAAAGAACCTTACCTGATCTTGAATAATTGTACACCAAACAATTATTCAATACACAAAAAGTTGTTGTTCTAATATTCAATATCTGAGAAACAGGTCTTTCCATGAAAACTGAACTTTGACAAATGAACCAAGCAAAATAGGTCAGGGTCAGATGAATCCTGCCACACATATCATGCATATGTACACCTTAAAATTAGTCTATACACTAAATGCTATTGACTAATGTCTCAAGCGTCTAATAAGCGGACAAGATACCACCACGAAAACTTAAGTTCATTCATTCACCAAATATAGTTCACTTACAGTATTTATGTTAACTAATTAATGATTTTAATCTTCACCACTGATCATGAGATGATGTCAGGTCAATATTAAGTGAACCTTGTCTGACGGACATGATACGGGTTATGTTCTTCTCATATATTGTATGAAGGTATGATACTAAAACCTAACGGGAGGGATTGTACTTAATTTTCATATGAAGAAGACATAATCTTTTAGTCGGTTTGGTTGGGGTCTGGAGCTTGCATATCAGTAACTGCTAGTGGTCCTTTATAAGTGTATGTATCATTGTCATTTTGCTTAGTTTCTTTTGTTACCTATTCTGACATCGGACTCGGACTTCTTTTTAACTGATTTTTTAATTGTGAGTATTGCTATGTGTTTCTTTATTATACATTGGCTAGAGGTAATGGGGGAGGGTTGAAATCGCACAAAACATGTTTAACCCCGCCACATTGTTGCGCCTGACCCAAGTCAAAAGCCTCGAGCCTTTATTAGTCTTGTATGTTTTTTAATTATACTCATTTATATGTTTTGGAGTTAGTATGACGTCTATTTTCCTGAACTAGTACAAATTTTTATTTATGGGCAAGCTGAAGACCACCTCCGGGTGCGGGATTTCCCCGCTGTGTTGAAGACCCATTGGTTATCTGCTCTTTGGTAAGGTTGGTGTCTCTTTGACGTATTCCCCATTTTTATTCTCAGTTTTATTTGAAAGGATTCCATATACCAGAAAAACTTGTCATACTACTCATAAATAATTTGAACAATGGCTCTGATATAGCCAAAACTGCTGAAAGTGGCGTTAAAAAACAACAATCAATCAATCAATCATTTAATTAAATTTGCTTTGTTCGTCAACTTTTTTTTCTCAAGAAAATGGTTCTGAGAATATGCAAATTAGTACACGACATGTAAATTGACTTCAATTTTAAAATGAATACACCCAAACTGTATTATAAGTACATTTTAAAGTTATAGACAAAATGCAAAATTGATTAACAAGATTAAAGTCCTTGAACTAAGGAAAAATTTCAAAATATATGAATGTGAATATCTTTATGTGTAAAAAAATTTACTGCTTAATATTTCAAAGATTGTCTTAAAAGGTCCTGTTACTCAGGAATGACAAACCAAAATATGTAAAAATCGAAAGGGTGCTTTCTTGGAACTATCAAAATTATCATGAAATGTTATCAGATTATTCTCTTGCTTTTGTACAACTTGTTGACAGAAAGAGAGACGGAGAGACAAGGGTATACCATAATACATCTTTTAATGGCTGGTTTTAAAAGTAATTATAACATGTTTCATTTAATTTTTTTCAATCTAGTCCAACATGGGACTTGAAATAATTGTTATTAACTAAAATATTGCATCTTATTAATAACACGTGTTTACCTGTTCCGTCATTTACAAATTGAAACTCAGGAGGTGTCAGGTCCACCAAAATGGGATCAGAAAATGACACGCCCCTCAATCCTGCAGCATTAGTGGCTATAGTTGTCACATAAATATAGGTGTTGTGGACCAGTGTTACATTATTGTTAACTGCAAAATTCATAAGTCCCACACTTCTGAATGGTTGGATCTGTGTACCTCCCTCTGAATAACCTACAATGTAAATAGAGTTTATTAATCTCATACTTTTGAATTGTAACTTATATGTAACTCTATCAGGATTACAAAAGGTCATTTGAATCAAACTGTAGGAGACTGAAGTTCGAAACTTTAAAGTGAAATATATTTGCTGATATCCATAACAACAAACTATTGTATTTGATTTTTAAATAACTTGTTTTAATAGTAATGCTTTTGTTGAGAGATGAGCTGTTACCACTAAGAAATGACTGTTTACTTTTAAACATTTAAATAAAAATCAGAATATATCTTTTAAAAAGGAGGGTTTAGCTAGCTTTAAAACCAGGTTAAATCCACCATTTTCTACATAAGAAAATGCCTGTACCAAGTCAGGAATATGACAGTTGTTATCTATTCGTTTGATGTGTTAGAGCTTTTGATTTTGCTATTTGATTAAGGACTTTCCGTTTTGAATTTTCTTCGGAGTTCAGTATTTTTGTGATTTTACTTTTTAATATAAAAAAATTACCTATAGCCCATGTGTAGTCTATTATTGGTGATTCTGGATCTTCGAAACTCCATGAACCATGAATAGAACTCCACGCATGTAAATAAATAACATGTCCAAGCACATGACCACTTGTGGCACTAGTTGTTAAATTAACTTCCTGTACAGAAATGTTATCTAAATATATTCCTGTAGTCTTGTCTGTACTCCCTATTGTGATATTAGCATGAGTATTGATGGCTTTAAAAAAGAATGTGTGAGCATGCCATGAAATGTTCTCTCGACTGTCTTCTAGTTCATGTCCATCATGACGATATGGCTTTGTGTAAATCAAAAAGATGTGTTTTACACCATCAAGTTGTATAAATCCTTCTTTATTTGCTCCAACAGAATCTGTTATTGGCAAATGGCTGGAGAAAAATGAGATTTTATATAGATATCCTGCCCTGAATGTTTCAATCCACTGGCTAGCACTTCCTCTTATAAACAAAAAAGATCGCCCATCTTTTGCTAAATTAACTTCAGATGACACAACTGCCATGCAAGTTAATGGTGAAGGTGTCCATGACAATGGATGAAAACTCTTGGAAATCATACAAATATCTGTAGAACTGACATTTTCAAATTTAACTTCTTCTCCACCTGTGTTTTCAAATGATGTGTTATTTCCAAATAATTCTGTAGCAATTATGAACTTTTCCGGAATAGGAGAAGTTATGTCAATTATGACTCCATCAGAGACAACAATAGATGATCTTCTACCAACACCATCAATAGCATACACTTTATTGTATATTTTTTCCCCTGAAAAGATTAAATAAGAACAAAATAGTCGCTTCATGAGAAACTATGTGTGGCAAATATTTTATATATCTTATTTTTTTATTTTATTTAACTTTTTAAAACTTTTTGATGTTTAGAAAATGAAAAACACTATTTCTAGATGTCTTGAATCAGCATTAACAGTGGCCTACCCTGTAATATATCTGTAGATAGATTCTTTGATGCAGAAACTCGAAGTCCAACGTTGATCCACGGATGAACACTGCATTCTGAATTTGAGTAAATTCTGTGTACATGAGTTGTATTCCCTACACACCAGAAGTATGACTGAATACCAGACTCTGTATCTATAAATCCATGCCAGTGAGCTGCCACATTGTCTGTTGAGTTTTGGTACTCTATGTCCAATATTCCTGTTTTTCATAAATAATATTAATTTTAGAATAATATCACACTAAGAGCTTCTCAATATGCTACATTAGAGGGTCATTGTATATAAATTGTCTTAGGATTTTTACTTACAAAAACTTATTTTCTTTTCAAATTTATTCAAAACATGTTCTTTCTAGTACCATCTTATACAAGACGCTCCACAGAGCCTGAATTAATAAATATGTAGAAATATGCACTTTTGATATCTATTTATCTTCATTAGTTGTATTCTTATAGGTCTTGCATTGATAATTATTTGTTACTTTTTACTGTTTTCTTCCCTGTATATTACACTTTGTGCAAATTTGCATCATGGAGTAAAAAAAATCTACATTGAAGATTTGTTATATTACTTTGCTGTATATGATTTCTAAATATTATGGCTTTCTTTCTTCCTTTGTTTCTGGCAAAAAAATCTTAAAATGTGTAAAAATAGTCATTCAGGGACAACAAGTCTTAAAAAGAGCCATTTGATAATTCTAGTCATGTTTGACATGTTTGTAGATCGTATTATAGATGATGTCTATAATGGTTTCTTCAAAATAGAAACAAATTACAAAACAATCTTTCTAGGGTAACAACACCTCGTCGGTCAGTTGACAAATTTGGCTAAGTTGACTTATTTGTGTATCCTATTTTGCTGAACTCATTTGGTTCTAATAATTTCTCTCTATCTATTATAGATTTTGCACAAAATGAAAAAAGGTAAAAACCATCATTTAAAGGCAATTACTGATAAAAGGGATCATTTGAGATTTCTGATCAGTTAAATTTTTCGTAGATCTTATTGTTCTGTTCATTTTCACTGTTTAAAGCTTCTCTCTTTCTGTTTCAGTTTTTCAAGATAACAACTAAAACCTTTGAAATTTGGCCCAAACAAATACCTTTCAAAGGCGATAAATCTTAAACTTTTTGTCCTATTTTTCGTTGAAGATAGATATTGACGTACAGACCAAAACCTCCATGTCAGATTTACTCTGACATTTTTAGATTTTCAGATAAAACCCAAACCTTGAAGTTTACTGTTGACTGCTGAACCTTTATTTTATTTACATTTTTATCTATTATATCTATTTGTTTTGCTCAAAATTTTTGTCAATATGAAAGATTTTTGTTTCGACTGTCATACAAGTGAGAGGTTTAGCTAGCTATAAAATCAAGTTTAATTCACCATTTTCTACAAAAGGAAATGCCTGTACCAAGTCAGGAATATGCAAGTTGTTTACCATTAGTTTGACTAATAATTTTTTTATCGCAATATTCTGATAACACCACATATATTTTAGATGGTTGTTTAAGAATTATACTAGTATGCTGAATGGTCTGGTTTCAAGATAAATGTAGAACAAGCACCTGTGAGCATTGCATGGCGATACATAGACCCCTACCGGTTAAAAATTCATTGTATTGGAACAAAATTCTAACTTGATCAATAACTTGTCATGGTGTAAACTATATAACAAATATCAAGTCAATATCTTCCAGCATGACAAAAAAAAAGTGTTGAAAACTGATTATTTAGGTGAACATAAATCTGCACAAAATCATCAGACCAGAACTAAATTCGAACTTGATGTGTAACGTGTCATGATAAAACTATATGCCAATTATCAAATCAACATCTTCAAGATAAGCATGACAAACAAAAAGTGTGGAAAACTGAATATTTCAGTGAATTTTCCAAGTCCAAGGACCATAACGCCGAACAAAATCATCAGACCGGAACAAAATTCAAACTTGATTTGAACTTTTCATGATAAAACAATACACCAATATCAAACAGTATCTTCATACATGAAGAAAAAAGTGTGGAAAACTGAATTGCCGGACTAACGGATAGACAGACAGACGACCGGAGTGCAACCTACAATCCCCTTCGACTTAGTCGGTAGGGGACTAATACACAAAAGTAGTATAGATTGAGAAAAAGAAACATAGCCAATATATTATGTGTGTAAAGTAGGGAATGGAGGTTGGTTCCAGCAGATTTTCGCTCCTTGGGTATTAAATGTTTGGTATATTTACCCAAAAATGGAAACACTTAATTATCAACCCAAACCTTAAGAGATTGAAAGAACAATACAGAGTTTGTCAAACGAACAAAAAATAAATCCAAAAATTACTAAGTCTTATGATACCAAAGCTAAATCACGTATTTTTAACATAATCAAATCCAAACAATGGGTTACTAAACCAATTTGTTGATAATTGGTTTTCTTCTGATTATTTTTTTTTTCTTCCGCCTAATTTTTTTCTTGCGGTGTATTTTTGTTTCAAAAGATGTTGCTTAGTTTTTTGGTATATGATATGATACAGTCTATACGCTTTTGAAACTGACCCTGTTTAACCGAACACTTTTCTTTGTAAGAGTTATCTCCCCAAACACTGTTTTTCTTGTTATGAGATCTCCTCAGCAACCGTAAAAGAAAGTGACAAATTTATTTTTCCAAATTGCTCGTTATATCCTCAGGATGTTAGGTTTTATTTAGACGGAAGCTTTACGAAGACTCCATATGAGAGTTATTTCCCCTTTTGTATTGATATAAGTGAAATTTATTTGTAACTGGAAAACCATAAGTGATAGAGGCCTAGGGTCTTTTGATTTGAGGTCCCTGGTCCATAAAAATGAAAATGAAGTCAAGGTCAAAGGTCAAGGTCATGTTAAAAATTTTGATTTTGGCTTGTTATCACTAATTTTCAGAAATCTTATAAGATATCGACAAAATACTTTTACAGAATTGTAAGTTGCGACATGTCGCAACACGTAAATTTGAGTTGAAAGGGTACGGAGACATTTAATGGGAGTTTTCTCCCCTTTTATATTCAAAATTACATGTATGGTGATATAACTCATTCATCTTATATAATTGAGACCTAGGGTCTTTTGATTTGAAGCCCTTGTTTCATGACCTTTAAATTGGGGTCAAGGTCAAAGTTTAATTTGACGTTCTATTTTTTTTCTTTTTCTTCAGCCTAATTTTTTTCTTGCGGTGTATTTTTGTTTCAAAAGATGTCGCTTAGTTTTTTGGTATATGATATCATACAGTCTATATGCTTTTGAAACTGACCCTGTTTAACCGAACACTTTTCTTTGTAAGAGTTATCTCCCCAATCACTGTTTTTCTTGTTATGAGATCTCCGCAACCGTAAAAAAAAGCGACAAATCTATTTTTCAAAATTACTCGTTATATACTCAGGATGTTAGGTTTTATTTAGACCGAAGCTTTACGAAGACTCCATATGAGAGTTATTTCCCATTTTGTATTTGGTATATATGAAATGTATTTGTAACTGGAAAACCATAAGTGACAGAGGCCTAGGGTCTTTTGATTTGAGGTCCTTGGTCCATAAAAATGAAAATGAGGTCAAGGTCAAAGGTCAAGGTCATGTTAAAAATTTTGATTTTGGCTTGTTATCACCAATTTTCAGAAATCTTATAAGATATCGACAAATTTTTTTACAGAATTGTTAGTCGCGACATGTCGTAACACGTAAATTTGAGTTGAAAGGGTACGGAGACATTTAATGGGAGTTTTCTCCCTTATCATATTCAAAATTACACGTATGGTGATATAACTCATTCATCATATATAATTGAGACCTAGGGTATTTTGATTTGAAGCCCTTGTTTCATGACCTTGAAATTGGGGTCAAGGTCAACGGTTGATTCGACGTTCTATATTTTGACCTTTGCTTTTACCTCATATATATACATGATAAAGCCATGGGACTTTTTGCATTAGGTTGCAAGCCATTTGACCTTGAAAAAGCCAACCGGAAGTGACCTTTTGTAAACCGGAAGTAGCTATTTATTGTACTAAATTAATGTAAAAGTATATAGAACTATATATTTTTGGAATCAGTGTCAAATAAACTATCAAACAATACCGGAAGTGACATTTTTTAAACCGGAAGTAAAAAATTATCTCCCTTATTTATCTTTTTTTGTATAGAAACCATATATTTTTGGAATGAGCGTACATTAAGCTGTCATTTGACACTGGAATTGACATTTAAAACCTAATTTTAATATTTTTCATATCAAAATAGATCCTTACTGGTGGTAAGACCTTCAATTGTTCTCTGAACAATTGGTTTTTAATTTGAAATATTTTTTCTTTTGTATGGCATGATAAACGTGACAAATTAGAAAGAGAAACAATTTCTGAATTGGTTGGAATTAGCATGTTTAATTTAAAACAATTTATCAAAGGATTAAAATCAACTTGGTTAAGAAAAATAGAATGCAATTTTACATAATTACAAATGAAAAAATACGGAAGCTCCATTGCAAGATCACTCACAAAATTCGGGGAAAATAAGTTTGTTTGTATGGACTAAAAAGAAACGAAAAAGAACACATATTTTGGGATATCAGAAAAAAACAACCTAAAAAGTCTTAATTTATTATATATACAGAACATACATTCAAAGCGGACACGTAAATATTGTAGCGTATAGAAATAAAGCATTGAAAAGAGCGTACTTCAGCTGGAACCCCTGACGCCAACTAATAGAACAATCATACAAGCACACTTTTGACTAATAGAAATATCCTCCCAATCCAGATTGTCAGTTTTTTTTTCAAATGATATTCATTAGTTTGTTATATCATTCAAAGAACCAACTTTATCTCTTTTTCTTGATTTTGCAGATTTAACTATGAACCAATCGCCGTAGTTATAACATATATTATTAATACATGTTTTTTTGCCAATAAACACATTACAAAAAAAAAAACCCAACTTATTATCATATACGGATGTAATGAATGAGGTGCATATTTCAAATATAGTTCTGTGTTGATTACTTCACAAATTGGATACCCTTAATCATGCATGTATAATGCAAGAAAACTGTTGTAAACTTTATACGTTTGATCATCTGGGAAATCTGCAAAAATACCAAAATAGGTACAAAGTTAGATGCTCCGATATACGAACAAATAGTCGAGGAAGTTGTATGCCCTGGGTTAAACGAAGGAGGTTAAACAAGAAGGATAGAGTCACAAGGGGTCATAATTACATATCTGAGTTAGAATGGAAAATCGGAAGATAGTATTATAAACCGTCCGAGATAGTAAAAAATTATCCTTTTTCACTGCTTGTCAGTAGACTAATTGACGCAAAGAGGAGGCTTGGAAAAGATCCTGATTGTTACACAGAATACCAACCGGATGTTTTCTGTCGACCTATTTCTATCTTCATCTGATAATGGTCGACAGTCCAATTTTCCGTTACCGAAGCAGTAGAGCTTGAACTAGAATTTGATTTACAAATATACTACTTCTCTGCAAGACAAACCACTCAACCAACCTGCTTTTCTGTCTTACTGCTAACTATGGAATTCAATTTCACCACATGACATAGTTGAAAAAATGTACAGGAAAAAATACCCATAAATAAAGAATAAATATACTTATACTGTCGACTGTCATACAATTGAGAGGTTTAGCTAGCTATATAACCAGGTTCAATTCACCATTCTCTTCATAAGAAAATGCATGTACCAAGTCAGGAATATGACAGTTGTTATCTATTCGTTTGATGTGTTTGAGCTTTTGATTTTGCCAAGTGATTAGGGACTTTCCATTTGGATTTTCCTCGGAGTTCAGTATTTTTGTGATTTTACTTTTTATAGTGGTGATACTAGTATCTGAATTGATAAATTGACATCCATTCTAATTTTTAAGGAATATTTTTCTTTTATTTTGGCCTGAAAATACTGAGTAAGACGATGACTGGTTCTTGAAATTGTATATCAACATATTATGTATGTTATCGAAAATTCATAATCGTGAGGTCCTAATCTACATGCCTTGTCTCTGTGATTACGACAATGAAATATTGGCTTTTAACAAAATCAAAATTATCCTCTGAGTAAAGCGAGGTATGAATTTGGCTTGACAAGAGTGAAAACGTAAAAAAAAGTTTATATATTTTTAATGTTCTTTTTAATTTTTTCGCTTTCAGTCAGTGCAACTAAATCAAAAAGAACCAACAAATTAATTATTAGCAAATAACATTAAATAATAAAGAAGAGATTTAATGAAAAGTTCCAATGTCCAGACGTCTACAACATTACACCCTGAAAAAGACTGAAACGTCTCGGTGGTTCTCGGATAAATTCCTCTATGTTCCAATAAAAAACCTCTCTAGTCGCAAACAGACGCCATAACGAAGTTCCCTTACCAACTACTCCACTTTTGAGGATGTAACACGCAATTTCTTATTACAAGAAGCCAACACAAAAAGTGAAAATCTAAGGCCCTATGCTCGTATCAACAGCCTTACGGTTTTTTATAGATCAATGTGGTGTTGAATATACTTTGTATTCTTCACTTCTTTAAAATTAATTTTGTCATTTCTTGGTCGTTTTCCACCGTTGTTAGACGATGTACTTTCGAATTTCCAGTCAAAAATAAATGCATAGTTAATCACATGCGGACTGATAAATACACCTATATTAGAATCATGTCAAATTAGCGATTCTCCTAATTACCCGAACTCTTTGCGTTGGCAGCCTTTTACACCAGAGGTCATAACGGATGGGGGATAATCATGTTATTATTTTTATATTTTATTATTTTCTTCTGATCGAGGTGCTATCATGAAGATGCCAATATCTTATGCAGTAGAGTTGCCTAAAAATAACAAGTGAAATGTGCTCCAGGATTTACCACCATTTTATTGCCTGCTTATTGATACATATGATCCACTATGAATTATCATATGTTAATGAAGTGTAACCTTACCTAATCCATCATAAACGATACCTGCTGAAGGAATCACATGGTCCACAATGAATCCATCAGATGTGGATGTAGTGTGGGCTCCAGCATAGTTATAAGCTATAACATTGGAGTAATACTTAACACCAGGTACAAGGGTGATTCTAGACATGTTGTATCCTGTTGCCGTCCCTGGTATATTTTTATGTATTGTCCGGATGTCATAACCTAAAAAATATCATCAACTTTAATGTCAAAAAAGAGTCATTTTAAGTTACTTTTTTTTTAAATAAAACAGGAAAATTTTAAAGTGGTATTTTTTGTCAGATATTAAATTTAGCAGTTTCAATGGTCAACACCGTTTGTCCTCACAATTTATCTTCATTAAGGATCAAATTTACGCAAGGGAATATATTCACTACATTTTTTGTATTTCGTTTTAATTGTAATATAAGGGAATATAAATCCATCACGAAAATTTTCAACTTAACAATAATGTGTTGTGATATACATGTGTGTGTCGTACAAAACATTAACATTGTACAGACTATTTGCCCAGGGGAGAAACAAAGGTAAAGAGAATAACAATGCAATGTTTTCAGCATATTAAATTAAACGAACAATTTAGATTGCAAACAGTAACCAAATTCAACCACTAGTATACAAGTTGCTTGCTTGACATAGGCCAGATTGAACGTTAACCTGATAAAGTGTATTATTATACAACATTACTCAGTTGAAAAAAAGCGTTACTGATCAGAGGCAAGCTGATTAACCATACACTGACCTCCTGGAAATGAACTTAGATATAGTCTATAATTTTCAATCGTAGCCTCAGCATTCATGAATTTGTCTTTCCATGTGTAGGTTATAGGTCGTCCAATACTTATATAATCGTCATCTTTAACTTTTGTACCTTGTACTTTTTCTGTTACCTATATACAAATAATAATAAAAAAAATTATACCAATCAAAAAGGGTCATCTGTTCATCACTGAAAATATAGTCTTTTAACTATAGAAGGGATGACTATTCAATTGTTTGGTTGGAAATTTGATATTTTTTACGTAGCTATTCCTTGATATTATCATGACTATTGAAGAGGGGCGAAAGATACCAGAGGGACATTCAAAATTATAGAACTCATTGAAATTACGCACAAAAAAACATGAAAACCTGAATACATGAAATACCAAAAATACCTACCTAAATTCGCAACTTTCTAAAAATAACTTAACGATATACATAGGAAATAATTTTATAATTTATAAATTTATTCATTTCATAGTTCATTGATGACATTTTAGTATATTTTTTTTCACAAACTGGCCAATCAAGAATACACTTTGCCATGAAAAATTTGATTGCTTGGGTAGTAAAATAATGTTTGATATATATGAAGAACGGCTTTGGAAGATAATTTTTCTTCATTATCAACTTTCCTTCTTACCATAGTGCCTCTAACTGTTGCTAACACAGGTGCTTTTGTCATCACATATATACCATTTGTCTTAAACACAGCATAAATGTTGGCGGAATACCAAACTTTAACAAATACAGAATATAGCATTGCATTCTCTAGTACGTCTTTACCTGTGTGAGAGAAGTAAGGTTTTATACTGTGACCATATTAACTCGGATAAGTCGTGGTATTTTGTAAGTTACGGTATTATCAAAGCATCTGTATCTCTGATGAGTCGAAATCTAGGTTAATTCGTGTATATTGCAATGTCCTCTCATAGACAAATGAATAAAAAATGTACCTCGAGTTATCGAAGTTTGGAGTAAAAGCGGAACAAGTTAGAAATATTTAATCCAATATTTAAATCGAATGTTTTCTTTGTGCATCAAAATAATTTTCTTTATTAGTTCTATGTCAATCAATTTATTTGCATAACAATCAAATTGATATTTTATAAACTTACTGTTCGTTGCCAACTTTGATTTTTGACTACGCAGAACATCATGTTAGAGAACACATTTTACCTGAGATAGTTACGTATACAGAACTACTTAATTGACACACACCTGGAAATTCATGAAAGAAACTCACAAGGAAGCTACTAAAGCAAGAGTTCCAAGAGATGAAGTTGAAATCATCCCTTCATAAATTTTACAGACGCCATCAAGAGTTGGTTGACCGTAATGGAATATCTGTTTCACAGATGACAACAGACGTAATAACAATCCCGTCCCTGACGACGGCTATGTTTTAATTAACGTAACTGTAATCTCTCCACTTTTACCGGAATATGACCTACCTATTTATACCTATTACCTGGTTTACACTTACATGAGCAACACGACGGGTGCCACATGCGGAGCAGAATCTGCTTACCCTTTCAGGGTACCTAAGATAACCTCATTATTTAGGTTGTGTTCGTGTTGCTCAGTCTTTAGTTGTCTTTACTGTTGTTTGTCTGTTTGTCTTTGTCTTTTTCAGCCATGGCGTTGCCCGCTTATCTTCGACTTATGAGTTTGAATGTCCCTTTGGCATCGCTCGCCTCTCTTTTATAATCAAACTGATCAAAATTTTGTTAATAGGATAACCATTGACCTCAGCAAATAGCGTCTTAGTAGAAAGATGAGAAATTATACACCTTTTTGTTTCGTTTTCCAAGTATTTTCGTGTTTTATAATTTCTTATCTTTGTAAACGTCAGATTTGAACTGTCTTTTCTATCTCTTCTTTTATCAAATAAATTATTTCTTATACTGTTTATACTCTCAATGCATTCGAAATTGGTTATTAAATACGTTTTCAACCATTACATATTAGGATGATAACACAAGGTTCCATATTGAAATTGTGGAACATGCTGAACTCGTGATTTGGATGACTCGGACCTCACAAGAGTCCAATAATCATGCCTTCAACTTCGACTTATCGAGGTTCAACTGTATCAACATATTCATAAGAGTTGTTAATCAATATATATTTACAGGGGGATGTTGGTCACAACATTTCACAAGGCATTGTTAGTCAACATTGTTAGTCAACATTATAATCAGAGTTGTTAATCACAACATATCTACAGAATGTTGAAAGTCACAACATTTGCAAGGGGTTTGTTAGTCAAGATATTTATAAACGTTGTTAATCATAACTTCACTTTGGAGTTGCAGAGATTGTTATTTACAACGTATTGCCAAAGACAGTTAAAGACAATTTATCCACATGGTTGTGATTCACAGCATATATCACAGCGGATGCTAGTCACAAGGTAATCAAAGAAGATTACTAGTTACGTCATATTCCTAGAGGTTGATGATCACAACATAATCCCAGGGATTGATGGATTTAAAATATTCACACAGGTTGATTGATATAAGAGAGGCGAAAGATGCAAAAGTGACATACAAACTCAATAGTCTAAAATAATCTGACGTCAGTTTAAAATAAAGAAAAAGACAAACACCAGTATACATAACACAACATAGTTAGAAAAATAAATCAACACTTTATGACATTGATGCGTTAAAAAGCGTGTCATAAAAGGTTTGTTCCAAACACTTATAATGAATGGAAATTTTAACGATTTATCAATAAGTAGACCTATACTAGAGTGAATAAAATAGTTCTTTCCATTACCATTTAGATGAAAATATTGCTATTAATAATTCTTTAAATGAATTCTCAACATTCTCTTATTACCAATACATATTTTATAACTTAGGTATCATAAATTAACCCTTGCATAGAGACAGGTCATCATAAATATATGATACATCGTTTTTACCTGGACCAATAGTAAACACAGCATCCATCAACTGACCAGCATCCTGCCACACTTTATCATGTCCTGTGTCAAAGATACCTAGTGGTGTTGACTCGTCTGCATATCCAACACTCCATTCATACCTTTAATATTTAAAATGATGTAAATCCTTAAGGTGTTCTTGATCATGCAACAGAACCTTATGGTTAGGTACATAAGTCACCTAATCCTAACCAATACACATTTTATAACTTTGGTATTATAGTTTAACTTTTATTGGATATTTACCTACTATGGTTCAATATCTAAAATCTAACAAGTAAAAGAAAAAAAAAATACCTACCTCCAACTGTCAAATGAATATTAAAATCGGAAAGTCGCTTAACAAATATAAAATGGCAAAATTGAAAGCTCAAACACATCAAACGAATGGAAAACAACTGACTTGCTACATGCATTATCTAGAAAAAGACATGGATAATTAAATTTTTGATGAAATCAAATACGATTTGATTTTGGACCCTGATTGCGAGCAACTTAAAAACTGAGCCAAGAAATCAAAAATCTAAATCCATGTTTAGATTTAGTATACATGTATGAAAGAACCCCTATTAATTTTTGTTAAAATCAAACTAAATTTAATTTTAGACCCTTTGGACCTTAATGTTGACCAATTAGAACAACAGTCCTAAAATCTAAAATATGCACAGTTAGATTTAGGATATCAAAGAACCCAAAGAATTCATTTTTTTCTGAAATTAAAAAAAAAAATTATTTTGGACCGTTTGGACATTAATGTGGACCAATAAAAAAAAAGGGAACACACAATCCAAAATCTGAATACATGGTTAGATTCATCATATTTAATTGTACGACGCTGACAACGTCATAACATTATACGAACACACACATTTTGCGGTCGTTAGAAGATGTGGATAGAAATAACGAAATCTGACAAATTCAATAGGAATGCCTTTCGAACTTGTAGTATTTTAGCATTAGATACATGAAATTTCTGACTCTACTGGGAGATCAATAGAACTTTTAACAGCGTTGTGGTTTTCATTAAAAGTAGGCATTCTTCTGGCATACTACTGTAGTAAGTTTACAATGAAACAGTTTACAGATCTACAAATTCATTATAAACTTGAGGCTTTCAAGAACATTAATCGCTCACTTGTAAAATATAAGCAACATTAAAATCATTTCTAACATAAGCAGCCAACTTTAGCACACTAAGTTAGATTGTGACAAGGTTTGATCCAGACACAATGGGATTCTATTTTATATAATCAAAGCACTGTGAGCCCTGTTGTCAGTTATAAGAAAGCCATTTCGAAAGTAATGGTGCAAATTGTGTAAGAGTTATTTAAATAATTTATCAGCTTGTTAATTATCAAATATCAACATTTTATGACTGTACTGTTTACCAAAGTTAATTACCAGATTATATATTACTTTAAAATATGTATCCCTTTTTAAAGATTCAATAATTCAATAATTGAGAAAATGTATGTATATCTATGCATGTCTCCATTGAATTCCTTGAAATGGAAATGCATCTATCATGAGAATATATTAAAAGGTGATTTAGTGTTTTTATTTTGGAAGCTTCAATCCAACAATTTTTTAATCAAATCTATCATATAATGCTTATGTGGAAACGAACTGTATTATGTTTATTATTATATATGAACCATGCTTTATTCATGACTATCACATTATATATTTTTTTAATGTCCTATGAAATTCAGCCTTCCAATATTTTGTGTATTGCCAAAACCAGAGGATCCCGAAAGTAGAATTGAATATTTTCTGATCCTTGTAAGCAAAACCCGGACATACATTATCTGTGTTTTGATCAGATAATGTTTCAATGTATGTTTGCTCTACTTCATATAAGAAAAAAAGGTACTGGCATGACTATGTTTACTAAAATAGCATTCCAAGTCAGGATAACAAAACTGTCACCTGGCTATCAGTGACGACCTTTTAGGTTAGTTTAAGTCTTCTCTTATGTATTGTTATGTGTTGTTACAATTTATCTATGCTTTCACATATAATGATAATCAACAGCTTATAAATGACATGTATGCTAGATTTGGTCAAACAAAATTAAGAGACTGATGAATGAATTTAACCTAAGCAAGAATATTTTCATCAACATTTTGTATTCCCACTGTTGTGTATTGTTAAGCTTCATTATGTTCAAGACTTTACTGCGTGAGGGTTTTGTTGTTTGTATCAATAGGTGTCCCTCTGCACACAAACTGATTTAATCATTTTGGAATCAAACTGACATTGGGTAATTTTATTGTTTTACCCAAAATACTGATGTTGTTGGCTTAGAAATGATGCAGTACACATCTTTTTACTATTCGTAGACTTTAAAGTGTACATCTTTGAAATTTACAACAAATATTTAACAAATGTTCTTTTTTTTATATTTTAATATTCTTCATTTCTTAGATCTTTTAAAAGAACAAGTGAAAAACAAAAATAATGCATTCAGTAAATAAAAATATCAAGATCTATGATAACAGGACGTTTGCTTAGCAATTTCTCCTAACAGGAAGTTGTGATAAAATAAAGAAAACGACACGGATAAAATAATAAACAATTTAAAAGTGTCCTGGCTTTAATTACATCTTTATTTTGGTAATTGATGCAATCATACGATCTGAATTGTGTCTTATACTATTAGAGGTAAATAATGTTAGAAGACTAATTCATATTAACGTGTAAACACGTTAATTATTAGCTTATTTAGTCAAGTAGATCGTGCATATTTCTGAGGTGGTTTAAAAAAAATTCAAAAAAAAATATACTTTACTGTGGGTTAACATTCATTAGCTGTCACTATCCAGTAGATTAACAACTGTTGGTTATATTGATAATTTAGAATCTTCATTGAAGGTGAAGCACGGATGTTGTGTTAATTGATTCTTTTGACGTGCAATTTGTTTGCAAGAGTGGCATTCCTTTGAACTTTGTCTCAATTCCAAAATATCTATATTGAACGATGCGTTTGTTATCTACCTTGGATTGGTTCATATTGTTTTCTTTCCGTATAGTTTGATTTAATTTCAAATCATTGCAAAATTTATAAATTTAATGTGTTTTAGTTTTTATAATTGTTTAATTAACGCCATTTACAGGTTCAACCCACTATTTTTTCTTAAAATGTCCTGTACCAAGTCAGGAAAATGGCAGTTGTTATATTATAGTTCGTTTCTGTGTGTGTTTCTTTGTCGTTTGGGTTTTTGTTGCACCTTTGTGTTTCTGTTGTTTCTTTGTTTTCCTCTTATAGTTGATGTGTTTCCATCGGTTTTAGTTTGTAACCCGGATTTGTTTTCTCTCAATCGATTTATGACTTTCGAACAGCGGTATACTACTGTTGCCTTTATTTATGTATATTTATAATTCTGTTTATTTGTTTTAAAACGATTTGAAATATTATATATTAATATAAAAAAACCTTTCATCAATTTATTAATATTATTTAGTTACAATTTATGTTGCTAATTTCACTGCCGTGGGCACCCGAGTAAGCGGGAAGGTCGTTGTAATGTGAGAATGTAGATAGCCTCCAACTAGGAAAGCCGCATTACGGTAATACTATATATAAAAAGTTTCCTGTTTATGTATAATTTGAGGTAAAATATTCAAGTGAACGATACACGTTTCATTTGACACCTTTAGTCATTTTGCTGTCATGAATACATTTTTAAGTTATTGTCCGCATGATCAAACCTACAACAGAACTGATCCTGCTACCTATAAATACATTTATTGTTTCGATATGTATATAATAATATCGGAATTCCAATGAAATAGACAACTTGCCTTAATATAGTTGCATTACTTGATTCCCTACAGATTTGCTGTGACAACCCATAAAACAAACACACACAAGATACACATACGCACAAACACAAAAACAGAACACCATAACCACCACTTTATATGAGAAACTTTAAACTTATATCAAATGCTTTAGTGAAAAATGATGAGGAGAACCTACATGAAGCATTTGAACTTGTTTGAAAAAGACAATATATGAAAACCGAGTTATATTATCTCCCTTTAATGATAAAATGTTGGGAAAATTAACAAGAGTTATCTTAAATCAATCACAAAGAGGGGCTAACAAATAATTTTTAATTAGAACTTAATAAACGTTAAAACAATTGTCAACTAAAAATGAATGTTACTTTGTTCAATTATAAGGACTTAGTTAGCCGATTGTACTAATTTTATTTGATATTATGAATTTTTATGACAAAAGTTAAACATGCTACTTATTTTGTTTATTTAAACAAATTAAGTTTTATATAAGTTTTGTCCAGTTTTAGCCGTCTTCAGGAAACGTATATATTTATGGTGCGAAATTTTAGATTTAAAACTTTAAGTTTGAAAAATGCACAGTTTGAGAGTAGGAAGGGGAACGTGATAATGTGTGTGTAATACAATTAAAAAAAAAGTTGCAGATTCTGTTAATCGGTCATGAAAAATTATGTTAAATTTTATTTCCTTTATTGATGAATATCTAAAGTAATATACTATGTTACGTTTAAGTCTAAATAATCACGAGTCTATTTTTTTATCTATTTGCTTGACGCCTTCCTTCTACTATGTCATAATGTTGAAGCCATTTCAATGTGGCTGGATTTTAATATTGTGGGTCAATTTTACCTTGAAATCTGCAACAAAACTGAATGAAATTTGAAATTTGAAAAAAAATACTATCAAATGTCAAATGAAAAAAATAAATTATTTGTGATATAACCTGGAATAAATGCTTATATAATAAACCAGAGCTGCCTGCATATTATTATTACTATTATCATACATGCATTTTAGCTTCTATTTGGGAATTCAGTATTGATACAATGGCATTTTGAGGTTTTTGGCTTTTATATAATCATTTCCTCTGCGTTGACACATGGTCACTGGTATATCTATTGAACAGAAATATCCTGACTCAAAAACAAAGTCTAGGGATTGAATACCGTAAATTTTGAAATTAAAGCATCATTCAATTTCATTTAACGAACCTCTGATTACCATCCCCAACTGAGAGTTTAAATAATGAAATTCAAGTCCATAATATAAAATAAGATTCCAAAAATTGAAATTAAAGAGTTTTACATTTAAATATAATACCAATAATATCCAATTCTTTTTTCACTTGAATTTCCAACATTTCCATAAAGTTTTACCTAATTCTTATTAAAAGTAATAAACAGCTACGCCATGAGCGCATGATACGCCCGTCGTCTTGGATGTGAAGTTTTATGCAATAATCATAAATAGTTTCTGAGATACGACGCGACATGTGAACCCCAATAAGCATGAATCGTTTTTGAGGTACGGCCGGACATGTGAAAAAAAACACACCCCTGTTTTAGTTACAAAGTCCCGTAACTCAAAAAGTTTTAATCTTAGTTTCACAAAAAAGTATACAGATCGTTTGACCATCATAAGAAACAACTATATAAAGTTTCATGAAATTTGGATAAGTTGTTCTCAAGTTACGGTGCGACATGTCTACGCCGGACAGACGGACAGACGGACGCCGGACATTTGTATACCATAATACGTGCCGTCAAAATTTTGACGGGCGTATAAAAACAGTGTTATAAGAGTGGACTATACTTCTTAAATTTTATATTTTATTCTACATCTGTGTATATAAGTTACGGATTTCTTTCAGCAGTATAGTTCAAGGTAACGTGTCGTACAAATAACATCAGTGTTAAAGGTCAATCAAAATGCATCTTTGGTTGGCTTGGGCTGTTTTCTGCTCTTTGGTCGGGATTTTGCCTCTTTGACACATTTCCCGTTTCCATTCTCAATTTTATCTACCACTAATAATTAGTTTGACTTAGTTTTTTTTAGAAAACAAAGCTATACCTAAACACAAACAACCACCAAAGGGTCAAAGGGCAAAGTCAAGGTTAGAGTATCAACATACCTACCTCATCAGGTATATCGACAATGGATTGTAAACAATCAAAGTGCTGATTAAATTTTAGGTGCAATTTATACCACACGTCGAGAAAAAACAAGTCTTTTAAAATTTTAGCAATATACGATATTTTGACCGAAAATTATAGCACCACAGACCAGAACTTTAGGACTGAACAAAGACCGATAGGATCGTAAGTGTTTTTATGACATTGAGAGAACAATAAGTTTGATAAACGTAAGATCTACGGTAAAAAAAGTTATGCGCAATACACAAACCAGAAAAGGGTTTATTATCACACGGGTCAATGTCAAGGTCAGATTGACCTGCCTTTGGTAAGTGTATATGACACACACAAGCCAATGATGCAAATAACACAACAAATACAAAACGTACAAACTACTCATGTTACATTTGCATAAATACAAATTCTTACCTTTTCTATTGGTGTAAAACATTTCCGAAAATATACAAAGGTAAAAAATTATAAATTGTATCAGGATGCTGTTATGAAGTCTCCTAAACAAAATCCCTACAAGTATAAACCCCGAAAAACCTTTCCCTATTGTTCGTTCAATTCATCTTGCAACAATTATATGGTTTGAATAGGGGAAGATGTCTTTATCTTTTACAAGATATTAAAACTTTCTCATTTGAATGGTGGAGGGGATGATCCTGAGGATTTCTTTTATATATCAATCTTTATCTTTTCATGTCAAACCATAAAATATATAGTCCAGGGGTGGGGATTTCGAACATTAATAAGACGATTGAACATATCCAAATGAAAGGGATGGAGATGACCAATGAAGGTCTAACCCTGCATATCATTTAAATAATCTTGGCATGACATTAGATTCTTCAATTGTTTTTAAATTTGTGTGAAGATTGAAAAATAATTGTCAAGGGCAAAGGTGAAGATAAAGAGTGAACATTGACCTTATAACTATGAAGTATGCCATACGGTCTAATGCTCATTACTGAGGACTCTGTGTGTATATCACTAATTGTTCTCCGGTTATAATCAATTGAAAATGAAATTTTAAAAAAGCCATATGGTTCTTTTGGAGGTGTGGTACAATAAACTGTAATATAATACATTTTTTGCATAAAAGTTGGTTGTTGAATGGGTACTAATTGATATTTTAGTCTAAGATACATGATTTGTTTTATTAGCATTTATTGGCTTTGAATTAGCTGTCAGATGTGTTTTTCTTCTTCTTGGAACCTGTTTTTGTATTAATGTGATCAGTGAAGCCCTTTCAACTGATTCGTATACTAGTTTATTCATATGTTATGTTGTTAAACCACTGTCTCAGATTAGGGGAGGGTTGGGCATGTTGGGAGCCTGCCACATTCTGTATGTTCATGTCCAAAGTCAGGATCAATTAAATAATCACAATCATATCTAACAAAACAAATGAGATGAGGCTAATGATTAAAAATATTTACTTTTATATTATTAAAATACTCCAAATGATCGCAAACTATAAATCCTTGAAATTTACTTTTCGTCTTCTAGATATATATAGATTCAAATGACCACCGATTTATCCGCATTTTGCAAATCTGAAAATCTGATAATGTGAACAAATTGAATAAAGAACATTTTGCGATGAAATATTTCATACATTTGCTCTTTTACATCTTTATCAAAATCACAGAATAATAACAAAACAATGCAAGACCTTCCACTGAGCACTATTTCTTATGTGCAACATCATTTATGTTGGGTTGTTCCGCCATCATTTAAGGTTATTCTATACACATTTCGTTTCTACTCCAGAATTAAAAGAATGGAAAAATTGTCTAATTAGTTATAAATATCCTACAAATCTGCTATACTAGATAAGGACAATGGCACCTATTTTATTATTCCCGAGACAAAAAGCAATTCCGCTGTGGTAGCATACGGCAGCTAACTGCCAACAAATTGTCAAGTTAATTGAAGACAATAACCAATAGAAAGTGACCGTTTTACGAATTTCTATCTGGTTTTTTTTTATAAAATTTAAAAAAACCCGAATCATTCAGGAAAATTAAGCATTTGTAAGTTGTACTTCAAAGCACCTCCCACCGATCATATTTGCCACTTTCAATTCTTTCTGCTTATCTAATACGTGTTTTGAGGTCGAAGATAAAAACATAACGATAAGCCAAACATCGCCATTCACGGACAATAACTAACTCCTTGAGTCATGTGATAATTTGGGTGAAAATAGGAGGAAGATAGATGCTGACGTTTTAGGCATTTTTGAACTGTCAGGTTTTCTCTGTCTTATAAGGTCTTCAAGTTATAAGACAATTCATGCATTTAATCTGTATGATCTATTTTTTCTATGTGTTGTTATTGCCGTTTGTCTTTTTGGCTATGATGTTGTCTGTTTTATTTAAAATTATGACTGTCAAAGAGCATTAATGGTAAGTCGTACCAGTTAGGTTTAGATGGATATTGCTGCGATATCTGCCATGCAGCTCTCAGTACAGTGTTAGATGCTGTCACCCGCTGATCATCAGTTGAGAAGCCATTTGTATCTTCCACAAGCAATAATGAATACTGGGTACCAGCAAAGACACCTTCAAAATTAAATATTTTCTTGTTACCAGAAAATACACCGTCAAAGTATCTACTTCGTACCATTTAAAATACCTATTATACATGCATTGGAAAATGTTTTAATAAAAAATATGTAAAAGGTTCCTATGAAACTTGTTTCTTGTGTACTTTTGCTGCTGTCAGCGTAACGTATAATGTTAATTGCTAAAAACTAAGACCATTTATTAGTAAAATACTGGTAAAAAGAAAGAAGGTTTTTCTTCAGATGCTTTTTCTCGATCTTGAAATAACTTCTGTCCACGTTTCGTACCAATCCTTGAATATTGAAAAAGTTATTTATGCCTATCAATACAGTATGTAAATTTTAACTGCGAAAAATCTGAAATACTGAAAAATGAAAAAAAAGTTTTTTTCTAAATTATGCTTCAACCATTACCAAAGTTTCATAAAAATCCAAGAACGGTTGACTAAATATTTGATATCTATAAACTTCAAACCCAGACTGTATTCCCATGTCAACAACAAAAAAAAACTTAGTCTATTCATCTGTAAAATATCATAAAATGGAGAAGCAATATTAAAAAATATTTTGCACCACATACTGGGTCTTAATCATAAAAAGACTTGTGTCCAAGTTGTGTAGAACTCAAATAACGTTTGACAAATATGTTCATGTTTAAAAACCAACAACCCCATATTGTATCTTCATGTTAACTACAAGCAGCCTAGACTATTTATCAACAAAAATAGGGAAAATATTTTCAAACGTTTGCTCTGGATACTATATCTTGAGGCCGCAGGCATTGACGTTGGTTTGTATGATCGCTATGTTGTCACAATGTGTCACTACAAGGATGACGTTTCTTATTGTTTCTAACTAGGAAGTTGTCTTTTTCAACAATTGTTGGCATTTGTATGGGAACGAACTGTGCTCCTCTCCCTTCCGACCTCTTCTTGTTTTCAAACGAGTGGGAGTTCCTTCAGATAAAAACAAGAAGATCAAAGAAGCCAGATCATTTAATATCACATTCAGATATATTGATGATGTACTTTTCATTAACAATCCAAACTTTTCTGATTGGATTCAATTAATATATATAAAACTAGAAATATAGAAACATTAAACACAGCTTCCTCTGCCTCATTTATGTAGACTTATAACTCGAATTTGAGATAACCGGTCACCTCAGTACAAGAATCTATGACGAACGAGAAGTTGTTTTTTAAAATAATAAATGTCCCCCACATTAGCATCACTATATACTTCACCTGCATATGGGAAATACATTTGCCAATTTATTCGGTATTCAAGAGATTGTAGCTGCTAATAATATTTTATAAAACGTCACCAGTGTGTGAGCAATAAGTTGATGAAAGATTTGCCCTTTTTTTTCTAAAAACCAAGACCTTAATGATAAATATTCCATATCAACTTCACAAACTGTATCTGATGGTCTTGAAGTATATATTATAGGTACTGACGTTGTTTATCATCTTAATTACGTGTTATATTGGTTTTTTTCCACTTGTCTTTCTATATTTGTTTTCTTTACTGTTTAGTCTATTTTTGGAATATCCTTTTAGCGTAGCTCGGTATTTATACATTCCTCCATTGTTTTATTGTGGGATCGTCATTTTTCGGTTTTTTTTTTATATTCTTTCTCTATGAATTGTCTATATAACTTTTTTTTTCTTTGTTAACAAAGTTGTTTGTTTTATAGTCATTAGGATGATAACCCAATGTTGACTGCCATGTTTGAAATTTTTACCTATTATGTCTGTTTGTTTTCCATACACATTGTTGTCAATATGATGAAATTTAATGCGACTTTCATACAAATGAGAGGTTTAGCTAGCTATAAAACTATGATATATCCACCATTTTCGACATAGATGGGGAGATGCTGTACCAAGACAGTTTGTGTTTAATGTGTTTAAACTTTTGATTTTGCTATTTTCCGTTTTGAATTTTTCTTGGATCTATTTGTGTTATTCTAATTTTCACAATAACAAAAAATAACCCGATTAAATTTTTAGCCGTTATAAAGTACTTAAGATTCAGAAAAAATTCTGTTTTTTCTATAACTATATATTAGTTTTTTAAAAGTTGCAAGCGATATCCATATTTAACAGAAGAATAAGTTTTCAAGAAAGAGCTTTTTAAATGTATTTTAAAATAGCTACAAAGAAAATGTCACTGAGGCAGATATCGTTTGGACGAAGCACGAAGAAAGGAGACTATTACAGACTTAACATTCCATTATATTTTAATGAATATAACCAATACATAAAATTCTCAGACAAAGTGATAAAAAGATTGTGTTCATGTTATAAATGTAATTTAAAACTCAAATATAACAATTGTTCTGAGGGTAAAGCATCTGCAATACAATGTAACCTACCAGCTGTAATGTTTATATTGGACATGATTTACTTGTATGTGACAAAACATGATGTTGATACCAATGTACCGGTAGTTGGAAGTTTCCATCTTATCATTAATTGAGTCAGAAAAGTTATTGATTTAATAAGATGTGTCTTTAACTGCGAGCCTCATCTATCCCTCAAAGCATTAAGGTTTTTGTTTTTGAAAAAAGCTTATATTTTGAACATGGACCACGACTTTGGTAACAGTCAGGTAACCCCCACAAACTTAAAACCAATCCGTAACTCCTTATGATTTAATCTCATACCCCTAATCTAATCCAAGTATTACAGAAAAAAATAAGGATAACATTTCACTGCAAAACATTTTCTATGACCCAAGTCCACAACATTAACAAAAATAGTTCAAGGAGAATGAAACTCTAATTGAATCTGTAATTTTTTATGCTACGACTATACAAAAAAAATCTAGTCATTTGATTCGGGCATTTCAGAAAAAAGAACAGCAACAAATCATATGGGCATAATGACGGACTAAAGGAGAGAGTTTAAACCTGTGCAGAGTGCTTTTATGGTAGGGGACAAAGAACCATCTTTAAAATATGCATTCTTAAAACTCTGTCTCTTGATCATCTTTAACTGCATATTTGCATACTTACTGTCCGACAAATCATTACAAACACCAATAGTTGGAGAATCTGGACACCTCTGGTCCTGCGGAGCACATATACAATGACCTTCACAGGATAAAGCATCGCATCTTCTGACTAAATCCAAAGACTTTGGTGGAGTTTTTCTGAAGGCTGAATGGACCAGATGACTTCGCAAACCAACCTTAAGTAAAATCATGCAATAAATTCAACAACTAACTTTAGTAATCTGGATAAATTTTATCCGTTGATGATACTCATATTTCTTAAAGATACAATTTTCATGTGGTTGAAGGGTTTGTTAACATTAAAAAAAAACCTATATTGATAAACACCTTCCCCCTTTTTTGTCTAACGAGAAGCATATCAACTAAATGAACGTACAGAAACATAATAGTATAATTAAAAACTTAAAAAGATTCGGTGTCATTTTGTGTACACTTCATGTGGAATTCATTTAAAAAAAAATGTTTGTAACAAAAATACAAAAGAAAATGCAAAGCACGACTTCAGAAACTAAACACAAATAGCTGAAGCACGCCTCCGGGGTGCGGGGTTTCTCGCTGTGTTGAAGACCCATTGGTGGCCTTCGGCTGTTTTCTACTCTTTTGTCGTGTTGTTGTCTCTTTGACACATTCCCCATTTCCATTCTCAATTTTATATTATAAGGTTAAGAAAAACAATTTACAAAGATAAGATGAAATATGAAAAATTCTAGATGAATCCACAAGAAATTATTTTAGGTCTTTTTTCTAATCTCTGCTATCTTCCTTTCCTTAGGAATAATTAATTTTTGTGTCTTAATTTCATACTACATTGAATGCATTTTTACAAACCTTATTTACTGCCCACACAGTAATAAAGAGTTCATCATAATCGGTTAGTTTTTCTGTCTCTACTTTGTACAGTTGAACTTTGCCCTCATCACCATGATCTTTATTTCCATCTGTATGGATGTACTTTGCTTTGTGATCCTAATTAAAAACATTTAAGGTAGATCATAGGTATATATTTCTTGAGATAGAATTTTCTTATACTTTGCCAAAATGAAGTTTTTACTATGCTTTTTTTCAAAAATATGATAAAAAGAATGGGTCACCGTGCTATTTTCCAAGCTATGAGTCGTTGAAAATTGCCTAAATTTGGTTAGATTGTTCATGAAAAAACACATTTTGTGCATAAAAAGAAATCTATGAGATAGAATTTTGAAATAAATTGTGAGAAGATAGGTTTTATAATATGTTTTAAGAAAATAAAAACAAAAATTGTGTCACCGAACATGTAGCTTGGTACAAGTAAAAATAAAAAAATTTCCCTATCAGTCCAGTATATATTTTTTACTAAAAGAGTTATCTCCCCTTAAATGGCTTATTTGAAAAAAATTGATTCTTAAAACACAAGATTTGATATTTGTTTAAATAATTTGAATAATACAATAAATCACCAAGTTTTCTTTATATAAATAAACAGTCTAACTAATAAATTGCAAATCTGTCTCCAAATTTGCAGATTTTGGCAAATAACTAGACCGTTTTGTACTGCGATTGTACAAACCAAGATGGCGGTATACCATGAATCTACCTTAATATCAATCAAGATCTATTGGTTATGTTGCTGATTAAAATCTGCCATATACATGTAAATCATATCCATGTATATCTGTAAAAAATTAGTCACGGTGCAATTTTTTTATTTTTCATCATTCTTTGACTTGTTTTAATTTTGAAATTTTAAGGATTAATGTCACAATAACTTTAGCGTGCGGGTCGAATTGTTCACCTTGAGATAGATACGTTGAACTGCTACTTTATATACATAATAATATTACAAATCTGTGCTTTCCATAACTTATGAAAAATTAACAATAAAATGTTTACTGCCTGTTGGTAAATCATTTGGGATGTATGCTGACCCTTTAGTGACTATAAGCATATACTTACAATGTATCTACCTGTGAAAGGAAGTTGTTGAATCCAATCCATGCTAGATATCTATTCCTATCGTTTCTTTCATCTTACCTTAGTTAAATCTTTAGCCATGTATGATGATCCTACAGTGACCATATAATGATCTATCTGTGAATGGATATCACTGAATCCTAACCATGCCAGATACACAACATAAGTCTCCCAAGCCATCCACCCATCTTCTTTTCTGGCAAGGTCATGTTCGACTGCATGGTCAGTGGCCACTGCAAAAGTTCCTGAAAAAAGATATTATTTGATACTGGCTATAGATAATTAATTTCTTTAACTCTTCTGACTAAAAACAAATTTGACAAATAGATCTTAAATAACTGTGAAAAATCAGTGTTGTGCCTGCGTTCACATTGTTGTAGTTATTTAAGGGTGGATTCCTGGATCCTCATATATTTACAGATAAATTGAGTATTTATTTAAGTACAATTTCTTTATATAGGCTAGCTGTTAGTTTCGTATTATTTTATAAATAAAACTCTGTTTCAAATGTTTAAGTTATCAACCAATCAGATTCAAATGTTTAACTTATCAACCAATCAGGAATTTATTATTGTCCAATTAAAATAAGTTATTCAAATTTCATCGCCTTATCTAGACCAATCATACTAAATCCTTGAAAGCTAAACTTGCATCTTAGCATCATTCAGGAATTCAAAATCCTTTTCAGCATTTTGCAATATTTGCGTCTCCTTTCCTGCATTAAACCCTTGGCTATTTTAGATCATTTTTCATGTAAATAAAGGATTTTGCACTATCCTATTATTTCTAATTATTATTTGTATTATGTACACGTTTTTGCTAAGCAAATTATTATGTGTGTTGTAGTTTTTTTTTATTCCACAGTATGGCTTTTATCTTTTATTTTCTAGATCATCACTAATCATGCTTATTCTTGCCTTATATTAGTTTGAATTTCGCATCAAAATATACTTTGGTTATTTTGTTTATTTGTTTAAAGGCATATCAATTGAAAATATGAATTTCTGAAATTTAAACGAAAATGAGCCTATTGGGTAATACAGTTTATCTTTTACACATATGTTTTGTTATTTTCATATGATGCAGTGATGCAGAATTTAATAAACATAGGATGATTCATATAAATTGTCTAAGCTACTAATAGAAATAAAAAGAGAGAGTCTTCTTAACAAACAAAACATTTAATTTGCAAAGGGAATTAATCTTGATTGCTCTAGATTAGCTAACAAGCATTTTTTTACGTTTGAAAAAGCGTCATATTTGAGTTGCAAACTATTTTGTATGATACATTCGAAATATTTTACTTGCCCTTCAATATTATAAACTATAAACATTATTTATTGTATTTTTCTTGTTTTGGTGAGACTGCTCATATACAACATGTGTACAATACAAACTATAACCCTATAGGAAAGGGAGTATTTCCGTTCTAAAAAAGAGTGTTCAGCGCAGTCGGTCAAGGCTTTTTTATGCGAATAAAAAATATTTATTATTCGCCAAATACAAATACTTTGATAATCAGTTGGTTCATAAAGATTCGGGTTGTATTAAGCATCTTTACATTCTTACATACCAATGTAAACTAATGACCCTACGACCATGATTATCTGCAACATTTTGAATAAAAAATATCCTTATTATATGCATCTTCCTAACCCTTTAATTGTTCTCTCTTCACTTTTTGTCTTCTAAGAATACACTTCTTCAACGTCATGTTTCATGATCTAATGCAAATCATACTTAGGTCAGGAATTTAAGCAGGCTTATTAACTCCTGTTATTTCCCCCTACAGTAGTGGAAGTTCACATCTCAATTTATATGTGATGTCAACAGGCATGGTCGCCTTTTTCATTGTCTTCAAATTAATGAAACAAGAGGAGAGCAAAAAAGTTGAAGTCAAAATTTAATTTGGACCATTGAAGAGAGAAAGTTTAGATCGGCTTAAATTATATATTTCCACTTATGTTCAACATATACTTATCTTTAGATGGTGTACATACCTTTGCATTGTTACACTGTATCCTTTAAAATGTCTAGATACAAACCCGTTTTTTTACATATTAGTTAGTATTAAACCAAAAAATCAAGGTGAGTGATTTCAATAGGATCGTCACGAGAGTCCCTTTGCTCTACAGATACAAAATTTAAAAGGTGATATGATGTCTACAAAAATTTGTCATACACATCATAAATATCTGAGCACTGTTACACCTCACATATGTCTATGTATACAAACCTCTTAATGGTTGTGTACAAAACTCCTTGTGATGTAGACATTCTACATATATCTGGACGGCTACAGTGTATTCTCCCCTATGTTTAAAGATACAAACCTCTAGATGGTGGTGTACTGTCTACATACATTCCTTGTGATGTAGACATAACGCATATCTCAGCACTGTTACAGGATATCAAGTTAACATAATAGGTCACTCCATCATGTAAATCTAAACCAGTAAATACATAAGACCTTGCTATACCATTCACCTAGAAATTATAAAACAAAGTAGTGTAACAAAGTCAGTATCCATATTTACTGGGTCACAAAATTGAAACGCAATTTTAAATTATAAACCAAAAAACTCTCCATAATGATATTAGACATGCTGATATTTCAATAATTCGACTTAACTTAACTAATTGTGCAGTTTTAAATAGCATAAATCACACACTAAAGATATTCAAAATATGGAGTAATGAAATGTTTTACAATCCGATACTAGTAACAGAATATTTCACTTCAAAAATCCATATCGCAAAGAGCGTTTTGGGTGTGCTAAATTCAGAAAAGCTCATATGACACCTTGAAAATCCAACAACATACACAAAATGCCTCAGCAACATAACAAACATGAGTAGCCCCGCAAAATTCTTTCTGTGCCTGTCTCATGTTTGGAGCCTGTATTTCTGTGGTTGCTGTATGTTATATTTGTTTCTCATTAATTGATTTGCTATAAGTCAGGTCCCTGGTTTCTAGTATGAACTGTTTCATATTCTTATTGGGCATATTATATATGACATATATATTTAGTATGGGTTTTGCTCACTAATTGTTGAAGGCTGTGCTTTAAACTATAGTTGCTTACATCAATTTCAGTTGAAACTCAGATTGATAGTTGTCTCAAAGGCAAATGTAATTATATCACATTGTCCTAATTCTTATTCCTAATTTTTAAATCAAACGTTTCCATGTTAATGACATGAACAGAAGAATTCTCAATGGACAAATACGATAATCTGAAAAACTGCACTAGACATGACGTTAACGCGCCAAGATCGTTCTTTTAATTAATTTCCCGGAATTTCATTTTATATTGATTTTATACCTCTTTTTAGATCTTATTCATTAATTCTATTTGTTATTCATTAATTTCTATTTGTTATGTATTAGAATAGGAATAACGTTTTCTTTTTTCAATTTTAACATGAACACAACAAAATCCACATAGCGTTCGCACACATAGGTTACGAAACATATGGATATACGTGGGAGGTTAATAGTAACAGCTATTAATATGTACATATCCGAGTCTGTACTTAGTAAAGATATATCGAGAATTTTATCACGCTGTTGTTTACTAAGCGAAAAAAAACGAAAACGACATGTTGTTAATGTCATGCGTCGGAAGAGCATCCTGGATTTACCCTCATCAGGAACGCTCAAAAAGAATTATTAGATTGACACATAAATTAACTCCCCTGTATCGTAAACTTACCGACTGTGAAGATAACATGAATTCTCCTCCAATATGAGATTTGATAGACACGTACTGTCTTTTTATATGTGACTCTTCATCATCAACAGCCCATTCAACCTTCATAGTTGTTCTATAGATCTGTGTCAATCCCTTTATTCCATTGTCAGCTGCAAATGTCGGTGGATTAGAAATAACTGGTGGTGTGTTGTCCACAATGATTCCATTGGATGATGATTCAGACCATAATCCTGTATTGACAGATAAACACTGATTAAATAACTAGAAGTGTACAACAGTATTATCTTGGTTTCTATGTTTCCTGTTAATTTGATTGTTTTTTTTTCCAGAGACAGATACCATCTGTTGGTACAAAGGTTTGCTTGTCTAAATCATGTAATATCATGGGTAATATCATGGGTTTGATTCCCTGGTCAATAAAACCAAAGACTTAAACAATGCGTTGAGATGTGAGAGCCCAGGCAGGTACCATCAGATCCATAATTAGTCTGGGTAGACTGGAATTTAAAACTTCTGGTTGTGTTTTGTTGAAACAGGATTTATAGTCCTATCAAATCTTCTTTAACTTATGATTCTAATATGACGTTGTTCTTTGGCTTTGAATACAAAGCTATGTTCTAATTTCAATAACATATTGGCTGCACATGATTGACGTCACAAATGAAAGTGCAACGTCAGTTGAATTTTGAACAACCCCGGAGATCGGAATGGACATTTGTGTAGGTGTTAACGTTGCTTGCTAGGAAATTAAATAAAATCATTCTAAAAGTAAGTTTACACGTATCTGTTAATTTTTATCGTTAAATGATGATTTTCTTTTACGTTTTTGGTTCATCAAAGAGTGTGTATTAAAAATCTGCTTCAACATACAAACGTTCACAATGTTCCTATTATAATCGGTAAAATGAGCATAGAGCATGGCATTAAAGAATTATTTCTTAATTCAAACACTACTGTTAAACATCCACCCCAACAAACTACTTTATATAGAAATAAGAAGATGTGGTATGATTGCCAAAGAGACAACCATCCACAAGAGACATAAAAACAACTATAGACATCACTATAGGTAACCGTAGGGCCTTCAACAATGAGTAAAACCCATACCTTGGACAGTGGTGTATAAGTATAACACAAGAACAAACTGTAAAAAACAGTTGCTAAGAGCTTAACTCATCAGATAGATACATAGCAGAAATAGCTAAAAAAAACAAAACAAAGTGGACGTGGCAGAGTACTTATACATTCCCACAACAAAAAGACACTAAGTACAGATCTGAGAGTTTTCATAGTTAATGTCAGCTAGTTCAAAGCCAACAACTACTAATAAAAGAAATCATGCATCTAAGACAAAAATATCAATCTGTACACATTCAAATTCAAATGGATTTTGGGTAAATGCGTCATAAATAGAGAAGAAGAGAAACGACATTATGCAATGCCAAGATACATGTATCGACAGATTGCAGATCCACGAATATGAATATGTATATATAAAATATACTATCAATATTAAGGTAGTTCAGGGGTATAGAAAAAATGACAGAATTTTCTTATACTTTTCCAAAATGAAGATTTTACTATGCTTTTTTTTTTAAATGATAAAAAGTATGGGCCACCGTGCTATTTTTCAAGGTACGAGTCTTTCAAAATTGCCAAAATTTGCTTAGATTGTTCATGAAAAAACACATTTTTGTGCATAAAAAGAAATCTATGAGACAGCATTTTGAAATAAAATATGAGAAGATAGGTTTTATAATATATTGTAAGAAAATAAAAAGAAAAAATGGTGTCACCGAACTTGTTTTCTTGCTACAAGTAAAAAATGAAAATTTCCCTATATGTCCAGTATAAATTTTGTACTAAAAGAATTATCTCCCCTTAAATGGCTTATTTGAAAAATTAATTCTAAAAGCACAAATATTTGGTATTTTTTAAAACATTTTCGATAATGCAATAAATAACTAAGTTTTCTTTATTTAAAACAGTGTAACCTATAAATTGCAAATCTGTCTCCAAATTTGCAGATTTGGACAAAGAGCTAGACCGATTATTTACTGTGATTGTACAATTCAAGATGGCGGTATACCCCAGAACTACCTTAATACCAATAAATACAATATTCAAAGAACTAATCAAAGTGTTAAATTGGTAACCTTTTAAAATAAGTTTTTTTTAAAGGATCGATAAGTTTACCCAGATCGTATCTAAGTTTCCTGGATCGACAAACTACAACTCTGCAAAAATTAGGATGTGCTATGTGCTATCCCGTTTGATATAAGTTTTCTACTAGTACAACCAAACGTCCAGACGAAATCTTTATATCTATGAAAAAATGCATTAAATGGTTTAAGTAATTTGTAGTAACGAAATCCCTGACTTAATTATTTACCAGTAATACATAGATTACGTTCATTGAAATCAAAACGTCACAACAGACACTATTTGCGGCCAAAAAGGAAAATTGAAAAATTTTCCCTTTTGTCGAAAATTTTAGTGTAGAGTTTCCGGTGAAAAACTGAAATATCTAATTCTAGGAGAGGACAGTTATTACCGTTTATATGTGATTTATTGAAAGCAAGTTCTTTTCGATAAATTCCGGCCGTATACCTAGAAAATTCTTTTTTATTTAACACAAAAATATCATCAACATACCGGTTAGTGTTGATAAATTTAGATTGAATGCAGTTTAGACCGGTCTCAACAGAGTTTGGTCATAAACTATGATTCATAACAATACAAAAACAAGTCTGATATTAAAGAGGCGCAATTGGTGCCATTAGGAATACCTACAACATGTCGATAAACTTTATTGCCGAAACGTACACAAATATTACATTTGTGTACCAAGGAGAACACTAACAGCTTCAATCCTCTCATCACACATATAGTACATTTAAATAAAGGCAACAGTAGTATACTGCTGTGCAATAGTCATAAATCGATTGAGAGAAAACAAATCCGGGTTACAATCTAAAACCGAGGGAAACAAATCAACTATAAGTCTTAGAGGAAAACAACGAAATAACAGAACACAGAAGTGCATCAAAAACAAACAACAATGCAAAATACATAGAAACGAACTATTAGATAACAACTGCTATATTCCTGACTTGGTACAGGACATTTTGAGAAAAAAATGGTGGGTTGAACTTGGTTTTGTGGCTAGCCGAACCTCCGCGTTTTAAGTATTACTAGCATATTTTCCTTTGTCATTAGAGAAGAATGCTTGCTAGTATACATATTTCTTTAGGGGCCAGCTAAAGGACGCCACTGGGTGCGGGAGTTTCTCGCTGCATTGAAGACCCTTTGGTGGCCTTCGGCTGTTGTCTGCTCTATGGTCGGGTTGTTGTCTCTTTGACACATTCCCCATTTCCATTCTCTATTTTATTTTTTACAGAGTTTGTCTTTAGTGCCGTGTGGAGACAGTAGAGTGCCTCCCCGTGCTTCAGGTTTATGCTCTTATAATATATTAGATTATGGAGTGTGTGTCCGAGCGAGAACTTCTCTATGTTCATTACTTTAGGAATATTTATCAAAAAGTAGTATTTCACATTCAGCCCCATTCTTCTATTTAGTCAGACGTCAGTCGCTACCCTGATATAACCTATCTTTTGTTTTATTTTTCGGGTAATTTATGACGGATAGCGTTTGACGTCTTTAGCCGAACAGTTTTATCATATTCAGATAATTCAATTTATTGTGTGCTGGTTCGTATTCTGGACGCCAGTCTTTGCTCCTTTCTAATAAAATCCACATAAAAAAAACAAATATGAAGCTTAGAAATGGAAAAATATTAAATACTAAACTCGTTCAAAGGGTATCTACACGTCTCAATCTTCAAAATCGCTTATCTAAAAATACTACCATCGCTAACATTTTTAACAATAAAAATCGTGGTAACCCTTCTATCGATAAGTGTCATGCCAAAAAATGACTTACATGTCCCCGTCTTTCCACCAACAATACGGTAAGGTCTACGTTTAATGATCGCACATTTTCTTTAAATTTTAAAACTGATATAACTTGAAAAACAAACAAGATTATTTATTTACTCACAAACAAATCGGGATGCGGTATTCAGTACGTAGGTGAAACTGGACGATCTTTATCTAAACGCACGCAAGAACACCTGTATCGTTTTAAAAGACCCAATAAATTCAAAAGTATCATTTATCAACATCTTAAAAAGCACAATTATCCTATTAAATATTTAACAGTTCAACCTTTAGAAGTAGTAAATAAGCAGCCTGGTGAATCTCATTCAAAGTTTGTACGATCACGGAATATAATTGAATTAAATTGGATTAAAAAATACAGACAGTCTACCCTCTCGGTCTTAATGGTAATATCATGGGAATTGGTAATATATCAAGAACCGATTCTGTTAACATTTTGGATATAGTTTCTAATTCGTAAAAACCGTTCTCATGGGCGTAGAAAAAATCGCAATCAAAAAAAATTTCGGACCAACCATACAAATATTTCGGACCTAATTTCTATTTCAAAAATCAACGGCAGACATTATCTATTAACCAAGCTCTGTTCTTTACCTATAAATAAATTAAATAAAATTTTAGAGGATTGCAACACAATTTCATATGGCAGTCCTAAGTATGAAATCGTTCAAATTATAATGGCATATTGTTATTCTAAACTGTTTCCCAAAATTGATCGCCCTGAAGATCATAAAAAACATTTTATTAAAATAAAGTATGTCAATAAAGGTTTTGATTTTGTAAATACTGCCTGTATTTTTAACGACCATTCTGTTAAAGAACAAATTCCTTGATATGTTGATAATACTGAACTCCCTCTTATATGTTATATTTACAAGAAATCTACCCGAAAATTTGTGTTTAATTATAGCCAAGTCTGTAAAGATGTTAATATCAGTGAAAATACACCCCCGTCATGTAATTGTAGTAATTCCGAATACACTTATGACCCCATTTCCAATGTTATAACAGGAGACCTTAACATCGTTCGCGACCGAGAGTTAAAATCATTCCTCAGTAAAGGACCTAAATATCGTCCCCCGTCAATTATTAATTGGAATGAGTGTCGTAATATCATCCACGACTTACTTCGTGCTTACTGTTCGAAATGGATAAAACGGGAAAAAGCTGACAAAAAATCTTTGGACTCTTTTTTTAATTCAGTAATGAAGATAGTTGATATACGTATACAACATTTTAAAGAACATTTTACTCTTAACAACAACCATAAA